CTCCCACGTGTCCGCTAACCTACTCCAAATCGCTTGAAATCGGCTTGGAAAATGGGTAATGGGACGTAAAATCAGATTAGGTCACGACAATCACACCAACCCATGGATTTAATAATGATTACACGCTTCAGCTTAATATAAAATGAAGAAGACCCCTTCATTAAAGGGGATTCGACAATTTTACATAAAAAACTCTCTCTCTCTCTCTTGTAAACAACGCATTTTACTTTTTCTAAATCTCTTGTAAGTCAGTCCGCTATTGCGACCTGGCCCACACTATCAATATCAATACAAATCAGTGGACGTAGGATTTGCTACCTTAACATCCGAACTACTTTAAAAGCTCTCTTAGCATTTATTTCGTCTTGATAATCCATATTCACGTGCGTTCCTTGTCCAATCAACGTTGCGCACGTGTCGATTGATTGGTGCCTAAATCACGCATCAACACCCATAATAAAATATATAAATAATTAGTAATGAACAGGAAAAAAAAATTCCATTCCATCCTTATAATTTGTATCGACTATTGGTCCTTTATTCATTGCACAGATGTGACCTTAATTACATGATTATTGCTTAAAATCAAATCTAATTTATTCATATTGATCAAATAAATAAAATTTGAAAAATTAATCGGGGTTGTTTTATTCGTTTCTGAAAGAGACTATTATCTTTGTTTTGTAATGACGCCGTTGTACAAGTCTGGTTTAAATTGGTTGGAATGAATTAAAAGATTAAAAGTCAATTAATATTGGTTGAATTAAATGCTAGCTGTACAACTGGAGACAAGATTTCTGTTTATCGTATTCACTAAACGACGTTTGCTGCCACGGTCTGGAATCCGGATTGATTTAAACTGAGCCCAAGTCTTCTGATTATGCAGCAGTCTCCCATTTTGGGCTCAGTTCCAAACTCAAGGTTAATAAATGGGCCTCAAGTGGACTATTTCCAGGTTATTTATATTTTTCCCAAAATAGTTTTATTGGAAAATTTTATATTTTGAATGAAACCTTGTAGAATTATATTTTGAACGAAACTTTGCAGAATTATCATTCTTTAAAATTTATATTTCCTTAAATAGGTTTATATTCAATCCAGCGGTCTATATTAATTTATATTTTTGGCTATTTGGCTAGATTATCACACCAAGAAATTTGATCATCATGAATTTGACATTTAAATAAAACAACAAAATGAAATGTATTGGAACAATTCAAGAGGTTGGTCTGGTGGTCAAGGAGGTATATTCTCTTCCTTGACTTCTTAGGTTCAAATCTTGAGGTCATTTATCTCAATGCATAATTGTATTTTACCATAAAAAAGAATGTATTGCAACAATATTTTGGAGAAATTATTTAGTTTGCAGGTTGAATGCACTTTTAAATTTAACAATGTCGACAACTTGTCTACTGATTTGAAAGGCAAAGGTGGAACCATATGATTTGAAAGGCAAAGTTGAAACAATAAGAGTTTGAACCGAGGTTCGTTAAACTATGTGTAAACTAATCCTGAATACCCAGTTAACAAAAAAAAAAAAAAAAAAAAAAGTATTGAAACAGTATTTTGGAGAATTTATTTAGTTTAAGGTTGAATGCACTTTTAAATTTAACAATGACTGACAACTTGTCCGGTTGATTTGAAAGGCAAAGGTGGTACTATATGATTTGAAAGGCAAAGGTGGAACCACAAGAGTTCGAAAAATCTTTATGGAAATTTTTTGTTTTTGTACACAGTTCTATAGCTTCAACTTATGAGCAATTTATGGGCAGTTGGTCTAGTTCTTTAATCCTTAATAAGGTTTATGAAATAGGATAAGTCCTACGGTCCGTGACCAACAATATTAACAACTGTTTTTGTGATTCAAACCTGAGATAAGAGGGAGAGAAAACCCTTGACTCTAATCCTTTTAACACTCAGTCATCCCATTATTGGCTAACTTATGATATATCTTTCTTCTACTGTTAAAAAATTATGGCAATGTCAGTGATATTCACAGGAAAAGATATTAAATAATATAGACCGCTGGATTGAATATAAAGATATGGTGAACGCTCTTGTTTTGTAAGTTTAATGAGATTGCTTTGCTTTATTATTTTTATTTTATTTTTGAGGCATTGTAAGGTACAGACACATTCTCTGTCTGGAACAGGTGTGGCTGCCTTACTGATTACACCTCCATGATTGATTATAAAACTATTCACAGTTCACTAATTCATTGTCTTTGAATGTTGAAATGACATCGGTTCACGGATAAGTGATTGCTTCTGATTTCTGAAAGCTGAGTCTTACAATGTTTCATGAGCTGATAAGGGACCTCGTGGTTTTAGTTGTCTACTTCTAGCTTCTGAATATGAATGATATTCATGCTGGTCCAATACTAAACTTTTAGATACTGGACCATCTATCCCTCACTTTCATGCATCTCCTCCATGGATTGTTTTTACCCCCAACTAATGGAGGTGAAATATAATTACAACTCTCAGAAAGTAGGGTCATATATACAAGCTGTATCAAAGCAGGATAATGACTTGCATGCATGATGTGCACGAAATACATGAATAATGGTAATAGCTTTAATGTTGATGTATCCTGAACCAGCTGATTTAGCCGACGAAAATTGGGCCTCATATGTCTCACATTTAAAGAAACACAAGAGTTAGAACCAGGACTTTGGAGAAAATGGTGAGTGACCAATAGTTATGCTCAAAACACAGAGGTTTAGCAGAGTTATAAAAAGTGTTTAATTGCAAGGACTAAGAGGAGGGTGAAAGCTATTTGGGAGGTATGAGATAAGAGATGTAAATTTATGTGATTAGTTTGTAACATATGTGGCTGTTCTGAGCAAGTAATGGCCATTGATTGAAGGACAACCAAGAGTTGGCAGTAGCTTTAGGCTTCTGTGCACAGCACACATGTTTCTGCCAAGAAATACTTTTGCATTATTGTATCATGATTTAAGACACACAAAGAATCCTGCGTTGGGACCTTTATCTGCAGAGTGATGAATATTGCATTATTAATCTTTTCATCACAAGCCAGAGAAATCAAACATGTGTTAATAATCATAAAATCCTCAGTAAACATAACTGCAGTGAACTTTCAGTTCTGAATAAATCAAGTTAATTTCCAGAAGGAGAATCTCACCTGGTGTTGCAGGCAGATCCATGGGAGAAAAATGATACAAGCTAGTCATAATTTATAATCAATGGCTGCAAACTTTCAGTTATTCTATCCATGATACAACCTAATTAGTCAAGACTTGGTTGGTGTCAAATTGATAATGTTTCACACGCTGCAGGTGTAGATTGACATTGTATGATTTGAAGACTTTTTTATTCAACATGCATTGATGTTCATTAATTTTGTTATTGATATGAATATGATATGCTACCACGTGATCTGACATCCTTTGGCCAAAAATTAATATTGGCTCATTGAATTTCCCAATATTAATTTTTGGCCAGACTAGGTAAAGCAAATTGGCCTTGGATTTAGACTGACAAATTCATGACATTAGTACGGATTTGGTTTTAAAAAGCTCATAAATTAAAATCACAACTGAGCCTCATCAATTATTCAATTTGACAATAACCCACCAGTTTAACATTATCTTTGAAAAACTTTTGGTTAAAAAGACTATACCAGTTTGAAAGTGTGTAGACGTAAAAATCTACATGTACGGAAAGGGGGTCTGATCCCATGAGGTTGAGGCCACTAGCGATCCTCTGCACCTGCACACGTAGAGAAACACACGCGTGAAGCGAACGGAAAACACCGGGGTGGTGTTTGCCGTAGGTACTTCGACGCTCCAGTCAGCAAGGCTGAGAGAGGCTAATATAGTGAGGGTTAGGGAGTACAGGTTACCAGAAGTCTAGTCGGGTACTGTGACTACGGCGGTGATGTGGAGCTCTCAAGTCAGAGCTTTCAATGTGAAGGTGTAATGTCATCTCCCCTTTGTGAGAGGGTTGGCCTCTGCTTATATAGTGGTCGTCTGGTCTCTCAATCCTGGTAGAAGTAGGAGTCCTAGTATGACTCTGATGCAAACCCTAGAAGAATTAGGGCCGTGGTAAGCTATCTTACCAGTTTCGATGGAAAGTGATTCTGTTAGGAGAGTAACTCCGAGTAGGAAGTGGTCAGGAATAGGAAGGTGACCTTGAATGGGATTGATCAGGAGTAGGAAAGGATTCTGAGGGGGTTGTGGTCTGGATTCGCCCATGGACCTAGGAATGGACCGGGATTAGGAGGCTCGTGCCCACGTGGTTTGGGCTGGCTATATTTGTACGAATGAGCCTATCGGGATTGGCTTGGCTTCTTCTTCAGTGTCGAGTCCGTTTTCTTATTCGGGCCAAGGACGATTTTTGGCCCTAACAACGTGGTTGGTGGGTTTTTACAAATGACCAACTAGCCAAAGCTCTGGTTTTTCCATTCCCAGTTTTTTTGTTTGCCTACAAGAAAGAAGTGTTCCTATTTATTCATCTCGTCAGTATTGATGCAGCCATTAGACGTCACATAAGCTAAAATCTCCTTACATTGTTGTGATTTCAGGATTATTGCTAATTTCTTTATTGATCTAAAAATAATTGGAAAACTGGACCTCCTGCTTTATATACTGTACCAAAGCTGACGCTCAATTTTTAAGGTAGACTTAGCTAGCGTGGTACTGGTGACAAATATGTGGTTGAGAGAGCAAGCCCATCCCCATTGTCAACTTGGGCTGCAAATATTATATCATGTACAGTTGAAGAGTACTATTAGGTAGCCCCTCTATAACCTGACGTTGAATCAGTTCAGGCTGAGTCTGTAAGGTTTGCTGAAGTAGTCCAAAGCTTTTAGTTTTTGGTTTCAATAGACTCATTAATTGTATTTGGTTGAAAGGTAAGTACTAACAAAGAAAATGGCTGCCAAAGCTAGTGGAAAGCTTATTTGAACCACAAAGGTCAACCCCCTTCACCTTTTATCATTTGTTTTCTTCTTGCACGTTCTCTCCCCTCTCTCTCTCACCCTTCTTGGTTATCTTTGCAACTGCTGATTTTAACTCCCTCAACTTCCCTGGCCCACTTGGCCACACCAAGATTCTACATTATGGCTTCCCTTTTCTACATTATTTTATCATCTTTTTTTTTTTTTTTTCTGTTATAAATCTCTCTCTGGAAAAAGGCTTATCAACTCCCTGGCAAAACAAATCTATTAATTCTCTTTCTTTCTTTCTTTCTTATATATTTCTCTTCTTGTTAGATTGATGGAGGAGGACTCTATCATGAATTCATCTTATACGCAGAAGCCTGTTGCTTCTCAAGAGCCTGAGGAGAGTGGTTGGACTGCTTACTTTGAAGATTTCTCAAACAACAGTCGAGAACATAGTTATTGTTCTACTTTTGATAGCTCTTCTTTGGTTTCTGATGCTGCTTCTGGTGCTGCATGGAAACTATCCCACAAAAATAATCTTGCAGCTTGTTCTTCAATCGGAGGCTCCCCAAAGATTCCCAAGAAGTTAAAGTTTAAGAAATCAAGGACCAAAGAAATCTGTCAAGATGATTCTTTAGAGGATACTGCTAGTTCTCCTGTCAATAGCCCCAAGGTCAGATTGATTTATTAACCATGTCCTTCAATAAATCTTTTTCTTTGTTTTTCTTTCTTTTCAATTTTGAGATTATCTTTTTAGTCTTTCTCAATATTGATCATTATTATTAGGTTGGAGATAGGGAACCGACGGATATGAACCCTCGGAAGACTGATCATCATGATCATATGTATAGTTCTCTGGTATACTTTATCTATATATATAAGTTTTTTCTTGTTAATAAATCAATTTTTATATTTAGGATTTGATTTTGATTGATTTAGGATTGTCAACCTAAGAAATTATATGGAATTCTGATGATTTTGTAGGGGAAGGGAAGTGGCTCAGAAATGCATAGAGAAGAAAGAAGCATGAATTTGAATGAGAAAAATGATTATACAGACTTGAAGAGAAGGGGGCTGTGCTTGGTTCCTTTGTCAATGTTAGTAAAATATCTTGGTTAATTTCCTCTCTTTCTCTCCCATGTCTTCCATTAGAAGCAACTTAATTGTCAGACTTGTAGAAAGAAAAGTTTTCTGGCAATCTGTTGGATCATAATTAATGTGTACTGGATGCGTCTTTCTCTTCATTTGTATGCTTAATATCCAGTTTAAATCCTTCTTTCATGTAAATATTTACAAGAGAGGAAAAAAAACTCGAGGTTTGAGCAAAGTATGTAAATATCTATTTATCATTAATATCATAAAATAACAGATGATAAGAGAAGACAATAAAGTATTTTATGAATATTGAACTGAACTACTTTAGGGGATGTTTTGAATAAATTTATGTGAGTGATGATCCTTTTAAGTTAATCTCATTTATTTACAAGGGTAAGCGAGCCTGTACTTGAGATCGTCAATTCTGCTTTTTGTTTGGTGGGTTTTGTGGAGAGAGGAGAGTGAGCGTGGTGGACTTCTTCTTGCAACCTCTGATCTTGGGATCCAGCGAAGTCAGCATTAGAATAATAGCCAATTAGCCAATTAATTAAACTTCGGTTAGCAGGAATTTGTAAGGACTTCTGAGTAAAATATTGAAGTCTTGTTCTTTGGAAAACATTCTTCCTTGAAATTATCATATTACTAACAACCAAAGATACAGACTCATGTCATGATGGTATGATACTCTTGAAACATTACTCGAGGCAGAATGATGTAAACATAAATTTCTGTCGTTTCCCACTACTAGACTTCACAAATTTTGATGCTCCATTCTTCTATCAGTCTTGCATGCACATTTACTGTTCACCAGTATTAGATTTAAAATTCACCATGAAAGATGTATCAAAGTGAATCAAATTTGATACATATACACCATTGAAAAATTAGGGAAAAAGTGGACTGTAGTAAAAGTGATGGTAAAAGAGTAAAAATATGTTTTATGAACTCCTGAGTTTGAGTTCCCACAAACTCTAATAGGGGTGGTTATTGACGGACTTACCTGATCATTAACTTTAACATCTCGGGAGATTAGCTAAGGCGTGCGCAAACTGGCCGAACACCCCTAGTCACTTGAAAAAAAAAAAACCAAAATTGTTAACTTACAAGTACATGCATGATTTGCATTTTGCAGTAAATATAATGATTATACATAATTCAAAATTCAAAACGCTTCATTAAAACTAGATATGCTAGGAAGTTTCTTCTCAAAAAACAAAGGGGTCTTAGGTGATTGATGTATTTTGACACAAGGACATCAAATAAAGGCAAGGAATTTGATTAGGTTCTAATGCCTTTTCATATATAATAGTTTAAGGTTTTGGAACAAGAATTTAAGATGAATTTGGTAATACAGGTGATACGAAAATTAAAAGAGGCCGATGTGAGAGTCATCCGTAGTTGCCTAAGTTTAGAGATGTATTAATGATTTTGGTTTAATTAAGGCAAGAAAGTGTCTCCCAATATATAAGCAGCTAATAATTAATCAATTAAATCTCTTTTTCTTAACATTCATTCATTGACCCTACAAAAATTAAAATTAGAAGAATAATTGATATATGTAATTGGATATGATAAACTCCTGTAAACATTGATATACATTATTCGGTAGTGGGAATGAGAATAGCAACCAAACCTAAAGAATTTGAAGTTCCTTGTGCCCTCAAAGTAAACATTATAAAATGGCAATGATAAAATGAAAAGTAGATTGATAGGTTTAAATATTAATTCATCTCCAACATCTTGCAGGCCATTCATTTAAATTATTTAGAAAAGGGCTGCAATGGAAGACCCCTCCATGTGCACAAGCAATAAAGGCAGGTGAACACAGAAGGGCACAGAGTTGTTTAAGGACGTTCAGTTAAAATACCACCATTTAATTCTTCTCTGTGGTTGACTCTCTTTTATCTATCGCATTCGTCAAGACTTTTTCTTCAGTCTTCTATTAGATTTTTCACCACATGCATATGATATGATATGACAGTAACCATTATTAATTACATTTGCGGAAAGTTAACTAAAGATTACACCATCATTCATGCTAAATTAGTCTGATTCTTCCAACATCCGGGATTTTTAGTTTATGATGTTTCTGAAAAATATTCACAAATTCATCTTTTCTTGACATGTGTAGTCACAACAAAGAAGGCCGAAAGTTGGTGTTAAATGAAGAACAATTTGGCTTATTAGAGTGAAACTGATGTTTGTCGCAATGCATATTTGAAAAATGTATCTGCCAACTTGATATTGAACACTACTTACTACCTCCGTATTCTTTAATTGAAGATGAGGAAATAACACCAAAAAAATTGAATAATTTATAGTTTCCATTCCCATTCAGTGAGAAAAACCATATTATCAATCCAATGAACCAAGTCTAGTCAACAATCAAAGTCTCCCCAAACTTATTTTGAAAAAAGAAGATGTGTTAACTGATAATCGCCCACCACAAGTCGCAGATATATATTGATTATTTGAAGGTCTTAAACACGAACCCAAAACCTTTGAATTTATATGCAGTTTATTTGCTATAATATTCATCCTTTTCTCTGAATTAAAACTGACAGTCTTCCAGAGAACTACAACACCTATAAGACATCCCTTTTTCACGGAGCAAATACAGTAATTGATCATATAACAGAAAATTAAGGAGGCCCTAAGTAAATTATGTTTGAGAGAGATCTTTTATGATGTTCTGGGGGAGCATCGGGACTATAAAATATATACTTCTCTCTTTCCTGTGCATTTGGGCCACCACAGCAGCTACCTGATTAATTGATTATTTATGCAAAACTTTATTGAGATGACTAACACGTAAAATCAGCATAAGATTTTAATTAATCACGGAATTTAATCTTTTGCACGTAATATTTTCAAGTCGGCATCATATATAGTATAAATTGTGAACAGATCAATGCAGAAATTAAAAGGTATTAAAGATGATATTTCTGTGGGTAGAGCTAATGGGATATTTGCATAATTAAGATGAATAATACAAAGCATATATGGATGGACAAGAAATAAAAGGGAAATTCAAAACGACCATTAATCTGTTGTGAGCCATTTGTTTTAGAGATGAGTGATGAAGTTAGGTGACCAATCAAATAGTTAAACAACCGCTAATGATGTGATTTGGATTTTGGAATGGTAGATCACAAGTCTAATTCTAAACACCGTTTTAAAACAGTAACATCATCTAATTAAGATCAGCCAGGCATCTCTATCATAAGGTCTTCTATTATATCAAACCGGTGTTTGAGAGATGTTTCACAACAAACACTTCTATTTGAATTAACAAAATGTATTATTCATAAGGATGACTAATTTAGGCCTTCTCTATTTTGTTAGCGCTATGATTCTAGACATATCTTTTGTTTTCTTCATTAATTGACCAATAATATCACATCATTCAGCAGCTGCTAATCGAGCGTTTGATTAAAGACTCATATAATAATATCAACAAAGTCGACTTTTTTATAGCGGGGTACTTTACTGCTTAAACAAGACTCAATGGGGGCCATGTCACACTTCAATGTTTCTATGTACAAAAATTTCTCTCAAATAAGAGAAAAGTTAAGAGTAAGTAATTTCAGAATTACGTGTAAATCATAAAGATTAAGATAAAAATGAGCTCTCGATCGGAATCCCCTCATTTAGTTAAGATGGTCAATGTAGACTGTATATACACAGAGAATTGACGAATTTTTTTGGGTAATTTCAAAAGTAAAACCGTACAAATTAGGGTCTGATAAAGAAAATGGTGGCATTCGAAATCACATGCATGTAGGCATTGAATGAAGAAATTTGATAACAAGCATGAAGAAAGGCAGCCAACAGGCTGGCAAAGAATTAGGGTCTGACAAAAGTTTGTATTATTGACCACAAAAATGCATGGCTTCCCTTAAACACTGCCCAAAATAGTTAATGCTTTGATAAATATATGAAAGGGTTGATGATGAACTTGCGTGATTTACGGGCCATCGCAGTCTTTGATCAAAAAAATAAATATTTATATCATGGCCCACAAAAGAAGGTTAATTTGATCATTAATTGGCAACCATGTGCAATTTGTTGAACCTCAAATTTGTGTATTGACTTTAACCAAACAAAATAGCCCGTGAAAAGAGAAGATTAATGATGCCTCGTGAGGAAAGTTGGACACTTTTTGCCTTAAATAAGTTAATTTCTGAATCTATTAATCTTTGCTTGCAAACATTGTATTGCATAAGAATCTTTATGCGTATATTTGCCGGCCTCCAACAACCTCCACATTAAACAAAAAACATTTCTTTTGATTAAACGGAGCATCAAATCTTATACCCAAATCCCCTATCTTTGTATTATATTATTTCTGTATTTGTATATTAATGTTAAGCTACCCCAACATATTCTCTACATTCGATCATTTATCACGCTTCAATTCTACGTATGTTCATAGAATTATATATACCTGTGTTCTTCATCTCATAAAACTATGGGAATTTAATTTAATTAGATACATGTTTATATTTGGTTCCTAATTGACCGACTTTGATAAACAATTATGTTATAATTTTAATCCTTTGTTTCTAAATGGAATCAGTTTACAAACAAAATGTGATCTAATTTAAAACAGTCAATTGTTCAGGCATGTAAATGGGCATTATATTATTTTTATGAACACGACTACTATATATATATATTCAGAATAAATGTCCGCATACAATGTGGATACTCCTCTTTCCTCCTAATATGTAATTATTAATAAATTATATATTTATATATGAACTTAAATAACAGTAGGAAGATGATCCGTCATCCATCTATTGCTTTGCAAGCCAGTTTATGCGCACCTCATTAATTAATCCTCCGGAACTTTGGAACTAGTAGTCGAGTAACAGTTTCAGTGACCACCTCTATTAGTAATCAAAAAGAGATTTGAACTCATGACCTCTTGAGTAATACATCCAAGAAGCCGGAAGTTCCTATCGAATCACTCGGCCACCCAGGAGTTGGTTGATATATATACATATATTGCTTGACTAATTAATTAATTAATTTACCTACAACTTCTTCTTAGTTATAAAATTTAACCCTGAGATATAAATACTGTATAAACTGTTGTTAAAGATACGTTTAACACAATTTCTATAAAAATTATTTATATTAAAAATAATTAGCAATCCTTCTTAAATACTTTAGAAAAAGTGTTAAAGTATTTTTCTAATAAAAATTGAATACGTACTTTTATTTATGTTTTTAAGTCAAACATTAAAAAAAATTCATATAAAAAAGGGGGCGTTTTGGTTATATAAAACTTGTATATCACCAAAAAATGAATCAGTTGCAAACACAGTATAAATGTCGTTTGTCCCTGACCCTGAGCGTAACATCCAACCAATTCTATTCATGAAAAACGTCCCATTAATTAAGCACATAATTTAATAAATATGTTGTCTTTTGATCAGGACCAATATTAATAAAGGCTGTCTCTTCAATCGTTCATGAAATAATTTCCATGGACCATGGTTGGAAAACTCCCACTATAATATCAGATGGATATGTTAATAACTAGCTCCTCACAATCACTTTACATTTATTATCAATTTCAAATGTTTCACTGATGAAAATAATAAGTGGCCCCATATCATAGAATATATACAAATGATCTTCATTGTTTAATTTACTGGGATTTCCAGTTGCTGTGGAACACTTAGTATGATGAGGAATGAATTACGGATTGCTTAAGGGAAAAGTTATTGTTAAATCCAATGATTAAAACGGGTTAACGTTACTCAAATTTTTGTTTCTTGCTTAATATGTATATATATACACAGGCCCACCAAACAAATTTCTGTGTCTCAATTCTCCTGATCATCTCAGGATTCGTGATTATGAGTTATGATTTAATAGCAAGCCCTTTCTCCAGATTTTAAGTATTCCTTTTTCTTTGGTCAGCAATTGTACTATCTGGTTCTTATGTCCTTTATTCTCTAATTTGGTCCGTCTGTTGCTTCTGATTACTAATTTGTCAGTTATCAATCAATAACCAATTCCATTTTATCATAAAGAAACTACCATTATTGTATTTAAACTCTTTTGGCTTCACTGGTAATTTCAAGCTCTCAATTTTACTTCTCTAAAAATATCTCAAATGGATTCCAACTTTTCTTTTTACTCTCTTTCTGGTTTTTCAACTGTAAGTACATGATCAAGATCAACGAGTGAAGACTGAAAAAATCTAAATATGCGACTGACCATTTAAATATTAATCCTAATCTGTTTAGATACATCTCAATGTCTGGATTATAACTTGATTTTGGACCTGCATTTAGATTCCAGACTCTGGGTGTCGATCCAAATAGTGATGCTACAGATACTAACAGTCCTTGCATGCAGCTTGAAGATCTTAAACACTTTCACTTGCCCATGCAACGTGGCTGTTGAGGTCATATTCAAGCTTCCAGCTTCAACATCATTCCAAAAGTTAGGATTTGTTATTAACTTTTCCGCCTCAATAACTGCAGAAGTAGTTATATTAATCTTGCCTCGCGCAGGCACTAATTCCTCTTCAAGTGGAACTTCAGCTACAATATCTCCACGGTAGTTGATATAAGCTGTGGAGTTCTGGAACTTGAAGCTTCCATAGTTACGATTGTCAATGGTGACCATCATGTCTATTGTAACATTTAGTGAAGAGAATGAAATATTTCTCAGACCTACTGGGTTTGCAGTGATGTCAGGATCCTTAGGCTTGAAGATGGTAAGTGACAATGTTGTGATAACAATCACTAGTATAGCTATGAAAATTGCTGTCACGATACCGCATATTTTGAGACCTTTTCGGGAAGTTTTGGCATTGGCCATACTTTCACACGACATCAGCTGATTAATTATCACTATGAAGATTAATTGCTGTTTGGGATTAGCTGTGCAAGAGTTGTATTTAAACAAGATCAACAGTTGTATCATTCTATATTTCATTTTAATAGTCTAGGGAGTTGAATACAAAATTATAGCGATGCTTTTGTGTGGCCTAAGGTTCAACAACGGCTTTTGAATTAGCCTGCTGTATAAGCAGACAATGCATATGGCTACAAAATTCCATTCATACCCAATATATGTAATCAATTAATTTGTCCTCCATTTCGGCATGTGCATGCAGTAATTTGAAATATTTGTTTATACATCAGGAACATTTTTCAATTTCATTCTTTAAAGTTGTGATATATCTGATCATACTTAAAGAATATATATTTAAAAATATAATGAAAATTAATTTTAGGGTAATAAATTGATAATTAATTTAGAAGATTTACCGTACAACATAAATATCATGCTAGTGAATTATTGTTTAAGTAAATATTCATATAAAACATCATCATTTTTATTAATTGTTTAAGTAATTTACCCATTAATATTATTATTATTGATTGATTGTGATCGTTGAGTGGGCTTCATATAAAAAGCTATATAAACAAATTGCCCATTGGGCCTGCAGTTGTCTTTATAACTACTTGGTCTAACCATAGGTCCATCTTTCAATCTCAAATCAACAGAATATATCAATAATTTTTTTTTTTTTAAAACATACAAAATAATTCAGTGAATTATTTACATAATAATAATATGTTTGAAGGGTTTTAATTAGACATAATAATTCATGTGAACAATTATTCAATAAATTCAGTAAAAGTATTAAATGGGAGCAAGACGTAATATAATAAAATAAATAAAAAAGCATGTAATTGTAAATCCAGGTTATTTAGTCTTAATCCAAACAAACATTATTTCAATTAATTTTAGAATGAATAAGCTTCAATCAACTTCTTGAAGTAATCTTATCATAACATTTGGTTTGAGAAATAGTAAAAATAATAATAAAACTCATATATAAATATTAAAATTCATTTATACATCCTCCATTGTTCACAATCTACATGAAATCTCCTATATCGTGAAGATCTCTTGTTTTCTAATGTAAAATCTAAAAAAAAAAAAAAATCAATTAATTTTATTGGTAATATTAGATTAATATAATCATATTATTAATTATCCAAATATAATATAAAACCTTTTAACTTCAATGTAAAAAATATTTAACAGAAATTTCAGGTGCACATAATTATTATTTGGAGTAAACACAACTTTCTTTTTAACATGCAACCACATGACGCGACATGCTTTTGACAAAGAATAAAAGATCAATCTCATCCAGTTTTGACAAGTTCATGAAACATGGATATAAAATAATGATAAAAAGAACAAAACATTAACTGTTGATTATTACAAGAAACATGTTTTTGTGTAACGTCTTTGTTAATAACTTAATATAATTTGATTAATACAATTAATTAAAACGCCGGCCAAACATAGTAAAGTAAACAACTATTAACATTAACATTTAATAACACAAACCTCCATTTAGGACTTACTGGCGTCTTTCTCTTTTTCATTGCTTTGACCAACATGAACGACTTGCTTACGGTAATTTTCTTTGCTTTTCTTTTCTGGGTATTCTTGATTTTTAGTTGTAAATTGTGGCCTGTGTATCAGTCCTGATTTTGAAACTGTAATTTAATTCCTTTTTTTTCGCTTTGTTTCAGTTTGTTTTTTTACTTCGGTTTGATGGTGAATTGTTTGCTTAATTTGAATTTTGGGGTCGGGAACTGATATGATGATGCTTACTTAAAGTAATTGTTTGATGCTTCTCGTGTGTTTGTGATATTTCTTCTTACGCTTTTGTTTGTTGCTGAGGAAACAGAGAAAAAAGAATAGCAATTAGCGTTTGTTTTGGTTTCTTAAAGATTGAAAATACATCCAAATAGTGACCAACAGTTTTTGTGGTATGCTTTGTTGCCTGGAGATATTTCAGTTTCTTTTCTTACAACTTTTCTGAGGATCTCAACAAGGCCTACTGTAACATAGCTATGAAGTCTTTAGATTGAATACTTGGACTTAGGAGTTCTTTTGATTTTCTAACAGAATTTTGTATAATTTTGCCATGTATTAGGACTCGTTTGTTGGCGATGCCAAAGGCCAGCCTTCCAGAGATAATGATATCGAAATGGGAATGCAAGTTCCGAGGAGTAATTCTGATATGGGAATGGAGGCTTTCAATAAGCAGGTGCATCGTAGTCATGTTTTTCGTCACTTGAAGATTTCTATCTTTGGCAACTTGCCTTTTTTTTTTTTTTTTGGGTTTTCTTTTCTCTAATTATGTTTTTTCTGGTTCTGCTGTTTGTAATTTAGATGCAAGAGGTTGAAAAACAGGTTGACAAGCTCTCTGGCCTGCTTAAGAAACTGAAGGTGTGTATGATGCTTATCCAAGTCTTTGTTTATAGTTTGCAGTGAGACAGCTATTAGTGATATTTTGTAAAAAAATGTATCACAGATGTAGGACAATTTTGGCTTAGATGGTAGTGCTTATAATATAGCTTTAAGGAAAACCTTTTAGCTTCCATGTTATCCCATCAACTCCTTGTTTCGAGAAAATATGTCTACAACATATGATTTATCATGCTCTACATGATTTAACTTCTTTATCTTTAATGATCCTATATGTTACTTGGCCTGGAATATTTTAGCTAAAAGAAGAATTGAACCTGACAAGAATTATTGGGGTGATATTTTGTTAATTTCTTCAAGTTTCTGTTCAGCTGCCTGATGTCCAATAGTTAAAAACGAAGAGGGAAGAATAAATGTTTGAAACAGTTACTGATAACTGAATTGAAACTCTAAATGATCCTCTAGTCATTAAGTATTTAACTAGATTAGAAATGATAACATGTTGTGTTGTGTAAGGATGGACTTGTGTACTCTTAGCGCTCATCCACCGAGCAGATGAGATATCTGGTTTCTGGTCCAGATGTTTCAGGCTCTGACTGGTTCTAGGTTTAAAATAGGTTCTTCCTACATATTGAAGATTTCGTATTGTAATGTTTTATAATCATCATTCTATTTTATTAATGCTGTATCTGAGCGGCTATCTTATTGGCTTAGCTGATAAAGAAACCAAGTTTAAAAGGTACGCGTCTGCTATTCTGATACTAAAACTCAAAATTCCTCCTCACTGGACCATTGCACAGAGTAGACCACTGTGATACAGAATTTTATTGCTGCCTTAATCTCATGTCAAGAAACTTTATAGATGATTGGCATAATTTACTTTTAACATTTTTAGGTATTAACTTTTCACAGGATGCAAATGAGGAGTCAAAGTCCGTAACAAAAGCATCTGCAATGAAAGGTAGTTAATTATATACTTATATGTTTTATCACACACAAACGGAATTTCCTTGTTGTGTTCCATTATAGATTCACCATGAGTAAGTTGCAAGCCTCATTGTGCACCATAACTAGTTGCTAGGTGATTGATGGTGTTGGTTTAGTGTTTGTCTAGTTATACATATGAAATGAGATTTAAAGCCTTGGCCATAAACTAATCCGAGAGATGTTTTGCGTATATATAGGTAACTCTCTCTGAGCTTGCTATTCACATCTAATGTTCCTTTTTGCTTTCTCTTTTGTATCAAATCTAATTACAGCTATCAAGAAGCGAATGGAGAAAGATATCGATGAAGTGGGAAAGATTGCACGAAATGTCAAAGCAAAACTAGAAGCAATAAACAGAGAGGTAATACTCCATTCATTGTTTCCTTAACTACCATCACGTCTCCTGCCAATAGCTAGGTTTTTAAAGTTTATATGCTAATTCCTTGATGTTCATCATCAGAACTTGGCTAATCGGCAGAAACCTGGGTGTGAAAAGGGAACAAGTGTTGACAGATCGAGGATGAATGTCACAAAGTGCGTCATGGAGTAACTTTTATATACTGCTTAGGTCTTATTGACAGTAGCAAATTGATGGTAAAATTATCTGTTTGAATTGCAGTGCCTTGACCAAGAAGTTCAAGGAAATACTGACAGAGTTTCAGGTAGATCTAAATATTACACTATTCCTTGTCTGTACTGAGTTTCTTCCTTGTCTTCTCATTGTGCTATAATGTTTTAGACACTAAGACAAAGGATCCAAGACGAGTATCGTGAGGTTGTGGAGAGAAGGGTCATTACAGGTTTGAATACTTGGCTTACAAAATAAAAGTAGAAATGTTTATCAATTTCTAAGTACAAATATATATATTGGCATTATGGTAATTTATCTTTTCTAAATGAAGGAATTTATATTCATTGCACTTGTATTTGATATTTATGATTGAACAGTGACGGGATCCAGACCAGACGAAGAGGTCAGCCTCAATCCTAGAATTATAATTTCAGCTCTAATGGTTATGGATGTTATCATAACTGGCAAAAGGTTTAATTTCTGTTTTAGACAATTGACAACCTGATCGAAACTGGAAATAGTGAGCAAATCTTCCAGAAGGCAATTCAAGAGCAAGGACGAGGACAGGTATACCCCTTTTAATATTTTAATTAAATGTTCTCTGGAAATTTTTTGAATCCTGCAAATTGTAGCTCAAGAATGGTGCAATTTTGATCTGTGACAGAATTCTAATGTTCACTGGTATTTGCTTGTATCCTAAGTTGTGGCCTTAGAATTTAAATGCAAGAGTTTCTTAATTGGTTAATTATTCTTGTTCTTTTTCTTTTGAAATGGATACAGCTTAACTAAAATTACTGGTATCGGATCAATTAAATTAAATATTTCAAAATATGATTTTCATCCATGTTACTGGAAGAAGGTTGATGGTTATTGATGATTGAAGCATTTGGTAGGAGTGACATTGAATTTTGAAGTGTGGTACAGCATCAAATTTGAATATCAGGTCATACAAGCAAAATGAATAGAAGCAAGAATGTAGTAAAGTTCTGAAAATGTCTGTTTGGACAAGCAGATATCTTTTTTCTCCTGAGTGGCATCAAATGAGATGATGGTTTCTCATCTTCACAATAGAAACATCCTACAAACTCAAAGTTCATCAATCGTGCACAGCTCCCAACTTTGTGCCTCTGCTTCATTTTGGTCAGGAATGCACAATCTTCTATAGGGACCCTTTCTTTACTAATATGTCCTGAACGTGGTTGCAGGTTCTGAATACATTGGAAGAAATCCAGGAGAGACATGATGCTGTCAAGGAAATTGAGAAAAAGCTTCTTGATTTGCAGCAGGTACTTCTGCACCTGGACTAAACCTTGACTATCCTATCAACTTGTCTAGTCTGATCATGTTATTTTCCAGGTTTACCTTGATATGGCGGTATTAGTTGAGGCTCAAGGAGAGATTTTAGACAACATTGAAAGCCAGGTTCGATTTTACTGTCAGATCCTTTTTGGTGGCTATGCATGTGTGTGCATCTGTTTGCATTGTGCTTGGTTGCTTGTGTTAACAGAAATCTGGTTCAGGTTGCAAATGCAGTCAGTAGCGTCCAATCAGGGACAAGTGCACTTCAAAATGCAAAGAGACTCCAGAAGAATTCCCGAAAATGGATGTGCATTGCCATTCTAATTCTCCTGATTATAGTAGCTGTTATAGTTGTTGGTGTCCTGAAACCATGGAAGAGTGGCAATGCTTGAATGCCCCTTCTGTTGCTTGACTATATGATACTAGTAATTAGTTGGGAAGTGTTTGTCTTACTAGTGTGCCAAAACCTCTTCGATGTGGTTTTCTTTCTTTGCTTTTTCTTTTTAATTTTTTTTTTTATATTTTCGTTTTTTGGGGTAAGATTTGGTTTCTTGGTGGTGGTGTGGTTTAATTTAGGGTTTTGGAACACTTATATTTCCCTCAATGAAAAATTTCTGCCGAAGCTTTTTATTTGATTTGCTAAACTCGTAGATATTAGATACTGCAATTTTAGCTGCCCTTATGTCCTTTGCATTTGCCTAGAAAAAAAAAAAAGAGAGAAAAGTAAGACTAAATAAAATAGAACTAAAATGAAGTTGAATTCTTCATGGGAATTCAAATTCATTTTTGTTCTCCCTTTTTTGTTGTTGTCTCGTAGTCCTTAGCATTAGTTAAAGTTGGACTGAATATAGCAAAAATTAAAAATTACAAAGCTGTGTCATGGTTAAATGGATACCAAGAGTTTTCCAACGTAAGTAATAGAACTATAGAAGAACAAAACCGTCTTAATTTGTGATGGTTTTTAGGATGTAATGGCATCCAAAAGGGTGAGGTCATAGATTATATTAAGTTTAGATGGTGAGTTTTATTTGTCAAATTTAAGAAAAAGGAAATTGTATAATGTACAAGGTAGTAATTTGCATTAGTTCTACTTCATTCTACCAGACTGAGTAGGAATAGACAATTAGCCTTTACATAGAAAGAGAAACATTGGTCTTATAATTTTATTGCATTTGAATTCATTTTGACTTTGTTGAAATAAAATCCTGCATATTTTCTTCGAAATTGCATTTATATATAGAACAATATAAAATTTACAAATCTTTGCCATGTATTAGGACTCGTTTGTTGGCGATGCCAAAGGCCAGCCTTCCAGAGATAATGATATCGAAATGGGAATGCAAGTTCCGAGGAGTAATTCTGATATGGGAATGGAGGCTTTCAATAAGCAGGTGCATCGTAGTCATGTTTTTCGTCACTTGAAGATTTCTATCTTTGGCAACTTGCCTTTTTTTTTTTTTTTTGGGTTTTCTTTTCTCTAATTATGTTTTTTCTGGTTCTGCTGTTTGTAATTTAGATGCAAGAGGTTGAAAAACAGGTTGACAAGCTCTCTGGCCTGCTTAAGAAACTGAAGGTGTGTATGATGCTTATCCAAGTCTTTGTTTATAGTTTGCAGTGAGACAGCTATTAGTGATATTTTGTAAAAAAATGTATCACAGATGTAGGACAATTTTGGCTTAGATGGTAGTGCTTATAATATAGCTTTAAGGAAAACCTTTTAGCTTCCATGTTATCCCATCAACTCCTTGTTTCGAGAAAATATGTCTACAACATATGATTTATCATGCTCTACATGATTTAACTTCTTTATCTTTAATGATCCTATATGTTACTTGGCCTGGAATATTTTAGCTAAAAGAAGAATTGAACCTGACAAGAATTATTGGGGTGATATTTTGTTAATTTCTTCAAGTTTCTGTTCAGCTGCCTGATGTCCAATAGTTAAAAACGAAGAGGGAAGAATAAATGTTTGAAACAGTTACTGATAACTGAATTGAAACTCTAAATGATCCTCTAGTCATTAAGTATTTAACTAGATTAGAAATGATAACATGTTGTGTTGTGTAAGGATGGACTTGTGTACTCTTAGCGCTCATCCACCGAGCAGATGAGATATCTGGTTTCTGGTCCAGATGTTTCAGGCTCTGACTGGTTCTAGGTTTAAAATAGGTTCTTCCTACATATTGAAGATTTCGTATTGTAATGTTTTATAATCATCATTCTATTTTATTAATGCTGTATCTGAGCGGCTATCTTATTGGCTTAGCTGATAAAGAAACCAAGTTTAAAAGGTACGCGTCTGCTATTCTGATACTAAAACTCAAAATTCCTCCTCACTGGACCATTGCACAGAGTAGACCACTGTGATACAGAATTTTATTGCTGCCTTAATCTCATGTCAAGAAACTTTATAGATGATTGGCATAATTTACTTTTAACATTTTTAGGTATTAACTTTTCACAGGATGCAAATGAGGAGTCAAAGTCCGTAACAAAAGCATCTGCAATGAAAGGTAGTTAATTATATACTTATATGTTTTATCACACACAAACGGAATTTCCTTGTTGTGTTCCATTATAGATTCACCATGAGTAAGTTGCAAGCCTCATTGTGCACCATAACTAGTTGCTAGGTGATTGATGGTGTTGGTTTAGTGTTTGTCTAGTTATACATATGAAATGAGATTTAAAGCCTTGGCCATAAACTAATCCGAGAGATGTTTTGCGTATATATAGGTAACTCTCTCTGAGCTTGCTATTCACATCTAATGTTCCTTTTTGCTTTCTCTTTTGTATCAAATCTAATTACAGCTATCAAGAAGCGAATGGAGAAAGATATCGATGAAGTGGGAAAGATTGCACGAAATGTCAAAGCAAAACTAGAAGCAATAAACAGAGAGGTAATACTCCATTCATTGTTTCCTTAACTACCATCACGTCTCCTGCCAATAGCTAGGTTTTTAAAGTTTATATGCTAATTCCTTGATGTTCATCATCAGAACTTGGCTAATCGGCAGAAACCTGGGTGTGAAAAGGGAACAAGTGTTGACAGATCGAGGATGAATGTCACAAAGTGCGTCATGGAGTAACTTTTATATACTGCTTAGGTCTTATTGACAGTAGCAAATTGATGGTAAAATTATCTGTTTGAATTGCAGTGCCTTGACCAAGAAGTTCAAGGAAATACTGACAGAGTTTCAGGTAGATCTAAATATTACACTATTCCTTGTCTGTACTGAGTTTCTTCCTTGTCTTCTCATTGTGCTATAATGTTTTAGACACTAAGACAAAGGATCCAAGACGAGTATCGTGAGGTTGTGGAGAGAAGGGTCATTACAGGTTTGAATACTTGGCTTACAAAATAAAAGTAGAAATGTTTATCAATTTCTAAGTACAAATATATATATTGGCATTATGGTAATTTATCTTTTCTAAATGAAGGAATTTATATTCATTGCACTTGTATTTGATATTTATGATTGAACAGTGACGGGATCCAGACCAGACGAAGAGGTCAGCCTCAATCCTAGAATTATAATTTCAGCTCTAATGGTTATGGATGTTATCATAACTGGCAAAAGGTTTAATTTCTGTTTTAGACAATTGACAACCTGATCGAAACTGGAAATAGTGAGCAAATCTTCCAGAAGGCAATTCAAGAGCAAGGACGAGGACAGGTATACCCCTTTTAATATTTTAATTAAATGTTCTCTGGAAATTTTTTGAATCCTGCAAATTGTAGCTCAAGAATGGTGCAATTTTGATCTGTGACAGAATTCTAATGTTCACTGGTATTTGCTTGTATCCTAAGTTGTGGCCTTAGAATTTAAATGCAAGAGTTTCTTAATTGGTTAATTATTCTTGTTCTTTTTCTTTTGAAATGGATACAGCTTAACTAAAATTACTGGTATCGGATCAATTAAATTAAATATTTCAAAATATGATTTTCATCCATGTTACTGGAAGAAGGTTGATGGTTATTGATGATTGAAGCATTTGGTAGGAGTGACATTGAATTTTGAAGTGTGGTACAGCATCAAATTTGAATATCAGGTCATACAAGCAAAATGAATAGAAGCAAGAATGTAGTAAAGTTCTGAAAATGTCTGTTTGGACAAGCAGATATCTTTTTTCTCCTGAGTGGCATCAAATGAGATGATGGTTTCTCATCTTCACAATAGAAACATCCTACAAACTCAAAGTTCATCAATCGTGCACAGCTCCCAACTTTGTGCCTCTGCTTCATTTTGGTCAGGAATGCACAATCTTCTATAGGGACCCTTTCTTTACTAATATGTCCTGAACGTGGTTGCAGGTTCTGAATACATTGGAAGAAATCCAGGAGAGACATGATGCTGTCAAGGAAATTGAGAAAAAGCTTCTTGATTTGCAGCAGGTACTTCTGCACCTGGACTAAACCTTGACTATCCTATCAACTTGTCTAGTCTGATCATGTTATTTTCCAGGTTTACCTTGATATGGCGGTATTAGTTGAGGCTCAAGGAGAGATTTTAGACAACATTGAAAGCCAGGTTCGATTTTACTGTCAGATCCTTTTTGGTGGCTATGCATGTGTGTGCATCTGTTTGCATTGTGCTTGGTTGCTTGTGTTAACAGAAATCTGGTTCAGGTTGCAAATGCAGTCAGTAGCGTCCAATCAGGGACAAGTGCACTTCAAAATGCAAAGAGACTCCAGAAGAATTCCCGAAAATGGATGTGCATTGCCATTCTAATTCTCCTGATTATAGTAGCTGTTATAGTTGTTGGTGTCCTGAAACCATGGAAGAGTGGCAATGCTTGAATGCCCCTTCTGTTGCTTGACTATATGATACTAGTAATTAGTTGGGAAGTGTTTGTCTTACTAGTGTGCCAAAACCTCTTCGATGTGGTTTTCTTTCTTTGCTTTTTCTTTTTAATTTTTTTTTTTATATTTTCGTTTTTTGGGGTAAGATTTGGTTTCTTGGTGGTGGTGTGGTTTAATTTAGGGTTTTGGAACACTTATATTTCCCTCAATGAAAAATTTCTGCCGAAGCTTTTTATTTGATTTGCTAAACTCGTAGATATTAGATACTGCAATTTTAGCTGCCCTTATGTCCTTTGCATTTGCCTAGAAAAAAAAAAAAGAGAGAAAAGTAAGACTAAATAAAATAGAACTAAAATGAAGTTGAATTCTTCATGGGAATTCAAATTCATTTTTGTTCTCCCTTTTTTGTTGTTGTCTCGTAGTCCTTAGCATTAGTTAAAGTTGGACTGAATATAGCAAAAATTAAAAATTACAAAGCTGTGTCATGGTTAAATGGATACCAAGAGTTTTCCAACGTAAGTAATAGAACTATAGAAGAACAAAACCGTCTTAATTTGTGATGGTTTTTAGGATGTAATGGCATCCAAAAGGGTGAGGTCATAGATTATATTAAGTTTAGATGGTGAGTTTTATTTGTCAAATTTAAGAAAAAGGAAATTGTATAATGTACAAGGTAGTAATTTGCATTAGTTCTACTTCATTCTACCAGACTGAGTAGGAATAGACAATTAGCCTTTACATAGAAAGAGAAACATTGGTCTTATAATTTTATTGCATTTGAATTCATTTTGACTTTGTTGAAATAAAATCCTGCATATTTTCTTCGAAATTGCATTTATATATAGAACAATATAAAATTTACAATCGAGTCATACAAGCAGAGAAAAAATAAAAAACATAATAATTATTTTACATAAATTTTGAATAAGTTTTACCTGGGTGTATTGATTCAATTTTTTGACTTGTAAGAAAAAAAAATCATTGTTATATTTATTTTCGCATTTGAGACAGCAGATGGTGAAATTAATCCAATTACGTCACGACATTGACAACCACCAGAGGAAAAAAATATTGTGTTCGCACAACAGGCTCCAAGTGCTTTGTTTGAGGACCTGCCACAGTTTGGGCTTTTGCTGAGCATTGCTTTGCATCGTTTCCATCTAAAAGCACTTCATTGTTGCATTTGTGATCCTTTGTGTGAGTGTGTGCCACACTTGATTATTGCTTCCAACTGAAACACCTTATGAATATTTCTCTAAGTGCTGTTAAATGCTTTACGAAAAGCAACACCACAGCTTCTCACATAAGCAATAACGATCCCTTTGTTGCAGGTGACAAATGCGGTGGACCATGTTAACATGGGTACAGATGCTCTCCGCGTGGCAAAGAGCTTGCAGAAGAAGTCAAGAAAATGCATGATGATTGCCATTATCTTGCTCCTGGTTATTGCAATTATCATCGTACTCTCCATTTTGAAACCTTGGAAAAAGAAGTAAATTCAATCTCCCAATGTTAATCTTCTGTTACATAATCCACTTGGATTAAAATTTACTGTAGAGTGCTTTTTTTCCCCCCTCAAATTTATTCGCTTTCTGTATTCTATCGTTTGAGACTCAATTATAAATAATGCAAAGATTCCACGATTGCAAGACAGGCGCCATTAACTGCTCTTCTCATCATCATAATTTTATTTATGAAACAGCTATATGCTTAATTATTGATTACAGGCAAACATAGCAGAGGCTATAAGGTACGGGTTGGAGGGGCCGCAAACTCTTGAGGTGAGTCATGAATTTTTTCTACACTCTAAGTGATGTAAATTGCCACAAAACATTGAAAGAAGAGAAAGGTAGCATAGCAAGAAGTAAATAAAGGTTGAACGAAGTTAGAATCACTGTGACAAGCTTCTCTAATAAATCTCAGTAGGAGTCAGACTTCATCCATAGACTTTCTATAAGGTTGTTTTTCTTTATACACTATCCTGATTTACACCACCATTGCTCCACCTGACACTAAGGTTATTGTTGCATCTTCAGCATCCTGTGCCACTTATCTACTCATATCAGCTGAAAAGAGTTTCATAAATATAGAGCATTATAAAATATTGGATATATTGTAAAGCACTATGCTTTCAGAAATATTATTGCTAGCACCCCCACTGCACTTTTCCACACATACACCATCATGTACCACATTTCAATCCAAGAATTCAATTTGCAAAAGCAGAAATAAGAGTATGTTTTAGAGAAAAACACACTTTTCATGTTCATATCAATATCATGTTTTCTGCAAAAAACACTTTAATCTTAAAATAAATGTGAATTTAGAAAATTGGATTATGAACTTCTCCTTTTTACAATAGCCACTCGAATAATGACATGCCACACATGACCAATGAGCTTGCAACATTATTCTTCTAGATCGCCTCCTTTCTTCTGTTAATTAGTAGCTTGTTACATTGGAAAGCCAAATTTTTACTCCTAAAATAGCTACTTCACTTCTATATAATTCTAGATTTGTATAAACTTGCAGAGAACTTGAGAAGGTATTCTACGAGGAAATATCATTTGCCAGTTGCTTTTCATATCAAGCTTATGCATGTAGTTATTTGATAAACTTACAAGCCAATTTGATTTAGAAGAAAGGAACTTACATTGGGAAGGTTCCAGAGTGTAAAAAACCCATGGTAGGAAAAATTAGCATAAAGTACACAAAAACACCTGGAAACTGCCAAACATAAAAGTCTAAGGTAGGAAGGAAGTGAATATTAATGCACATTCTGGGAAACAAACATATGAAAAGATAAAATAAGGAGAACACCTTAACAATCTAAGATTATATTTACTGAAGCTCTTTTGACCAGAAATTCGCAAGTGATTTCTGCTGCATCATTGGAAGGCACTTAAACCAACTTATCAATTGTTTGCATTTGAATTATGTCCCTTATCCTGTCACTCACCCAGCAACACACTTATTTTTCTCCAATTTAATCACCTTCGTTCTGCAGAAAGTGAATAGGCACTAAGAGATACTCTCATCAACCATGTCATGTAGGTTTAAGTTTGCATTTAAAAGTGTTCTTGAAGCTATAATAAACACTTTTATGCCAATTTCTTAGTCTCTAGCTGTAGTAGATACGTCTTTTTTTTTTCCTTAAAAAAACATGTAGAAGCTTTACAGTTGATAGATAGTTTCCTGGAATGCACATTTTAGATTAAAAAGAAAAACACTTTAAATACTTTCTAGAGCAGCACTTGATTGTACTTTACCAGGAACTGAATACAAATACCCTTATAGAAAATGCTTCTAACTAGTTCGGGCAAGACTATCCAACTCATCTTCTTCCATTGTTTGTGATGAAATGAAGTATCTAGATATTCATTCTTAATAAAGGGTTGTTGAAGAACAACTTTTGAGGTGATATACCAATGCCAATATTCACAATTATTATCATATAAAAGTCACAGATCCAACTGCAGGAAATAGTCTTTAGATAAGCGTAAATAAATCCAAGAAACCCAGAAATTGAATTTGAATTCTTTTGTAAAAACACAGTCCAAAATGTTAATAGAAATAGATGCAAAACATACCTGAAAATAAAAGTGATTAGAAGCCAGATTAGGTGTGATGTAACTTCAAATCATCGCGCCTTATGTCTTCAGCTACTCAGATCCAGCTTTTCTCTGCATTCTTTTATCTGGATTGCGACTTGTAGAGACGAGTGAGAGATACATGGACATATGTTAATTAAACGCAGCGTTTAACTTTTATCCTAGACGAAACGCACCGCGTGGACCGCACTTATGCCAACTAACTTTCGGGTTACACGTACCGGTATACGACCACGTATTTAAAGTTTAAATTGAGACTGTACATTATGGATTTCTGCTGTAAAAAGGATTAGCAGTAACTGAAGGTATAAGTGAGATTAAGATTGTAAAGGAAACAAAACTCTTAATAATTGTATCTGAAACAAGGAACCAAATTATAGTAATACAGAAACACGTTTGTTCGCTAAAAGGCCTTAAGAGAGCTAGAACAGAACTAAGCAGCACAATATGGCCAAAAAATGCCCAAAATGAGTAATGACGCCAATCACATATTGAATTATGACAAACACATTATTCTTCCCAGCTCTGCAATCCAGAATCTGGGTAATACTCAATAAGACCCTTCACCATACTCAAATTCCAAATAGCTTTCTCACATTCTTGCCTTAGCAACCACCACATTTCCTTCATCAATATTCATTGCCCCTGGGCTAGTCCATTTTTCCTTGAATTGCTCTTCCGTCACTCCTGCACAAGTAACGGCAACAAGAGTTTTCAAAACATGTTTTCATTTATTCTTAACATATAGGAAGTAGATAGGAAATAATTAATTAACTTGCCTTTGCCCATAGCAGCAGTGGAAGAAATGCCTCCCTGGACAGTCTTGAGGTACCTATCATAATAGTTTGCACCTGACCATTTTTGGTGAGCAAGTGTGTCAACTCCATGGTTCCTTTCTTCCCTCTGGATCCTCTCCACGTAAGCCAACATACCTCTCCTTGCATAATCTCTAGCAAATGTGTCAATCACAAGGGCATCAGCATGGAAACCTGCTAGTGTTATGAACTGCCAACAGTAACCAAGCCTGGCTATTCTTGGAATGAAATCTTTCATTTGTTCATCAGTCATTCCTGATGCATCCCAATTGAAAGATGGTGAAAGATTATAGGCTAACATGATCTCCGGGAGCTTTGATTTCACTCCTTCTGCAAAGTTGGTGCACTCAACCAGGTCAGGGCTGGCAGTCTCCATCCAAATAAGATCAGCATGAGGAGCAAAAGCCCAGCCGCGAACAACTGCAGCCATAACTGACCCTTTGAACCTGTAGAATCCTTCTCTAGTTCTGGGTAAGTCCCAGTCCCAGAAGAGATTCTTAAGCCCCAATCTCTTAGCAATCTCTCGGCCTTGTTCATTGGACAGACACTTATCATAGCTAGAATGGTTCTTCCATTCATTCAATATCCTCCTTTTCTCATTCTCACCAGCATTCATATTCTTGATTGCATCAATAACACATTCAGGGAATGTCTTGAGCTGAGCCGCTGCCAGCCAATTGTCTTCAATGGCTTGAAGGTCAGCTCCTGTTTTGCCGGCAGCCATTGCTTCTGCCAAAATATGAGCCAAAGCTTTCCCTCTCAGATTTGGATTAGTCGCACCGAGAATGAACTGATGGTCTCTAGTGTCCACATTGGTTTGAATCAAATTAGCTGCAACTGCATCAGTCCTAGCTACCAAAACTGTCTCCACCCCCATAACATCAAATTGTAACCTCGCAGCCACAAGCCTATTAATGTGTTCACTGACCGCAACAAGCACCTTTCCAGCCATGTGACCACATTTTTTGGTCACTGAAGACTGGTCCTCAATATGGACACCAGCAGCGCCACGCTCAACAAAAAGTTTGCAAAGTTTAACGGTTGCAGTAGTGCCACCAAACCCAGTATCACCATCAGCTATAATTGGCTTGAGGTAATCAACATAAGGGGTTCTAGCCCTCTCTTCGCGGCTCATGCTCATGCGTGCCTCTTTTTGTTTTCTATCATGGTATTGCTGAGCAAAGAAAAGATGTTCCACTTTGTTTGGAACAGTGTCATAGGGGTAATCAGCAAGGTCTGGACCAGGTTCATTGGTTGAAGTGTGGGTGGATGAACACTGCCAACCGGAGACATAAATGGAGTCCAAGTGCTTGGCCATCATGGTTACTTGGACAGGGTCAAGTGCACCAAAAGTCCTGGAAGCAGTGCCATTGCCTTGGTGTGTTTTGAGAGTTCTCCATAGCTTTTTGGCCATCTCGTTGGAGCCATAACCTTGTCTAAGGGTCCCTCGAAGAGCCACAACATCTCTTGCCGAATATGGTCGCCGGGTTAGCTTGAACCTCTCTGTGTTCCACCACGCTTGCACCTCTGCAACTTCTGCTTCAAATCTCCCTTCTTCTTCCATTATCTGCTTAAAAGAATTCTGACTCATTATTAATTGACGATATTATTAGCAGGATAGCTGAACTTTGTTCTATACAAACTACTGTAGAGATGACAAATTTGAGCTCTTGGTGTATATTTGTTTAATAATTTTTAAAGTGGCTGTATAAAGTGCTTCATATGTGAATTGCTCTCCAAATACTTCGACGATTTGTGTCACCGAAACATCTGTTGATCCTTAAAGATTTAACTAAGGAATAAACGTGCTTAATTCATCATCTCTAAAGTCTAATGAGAGATAGCTAGCCTGTCATGGCTAAAGATAGTTTTCAAAATAGGAATTTTAAACATGGTTAAAATCCTTAAATATCTGTAAAGATATGTATTTACAGCGAAGCTTTATAATAACTTTTTTTTTTTTTTAAACAGTTGGGACACTTGCAGAAGTGAGCCAGAGAGCAAGAGCAAAATTTCAGAAATTCTTAAAGCTTTTACATATGAAGTTTTTCGACTTTTTTCCTGTAACTTCTGTACTCATGCATCTGCTAATTAAAGTACCAACCAAAGAAAAAAAAAATATTGTAAGTTTCTCTGCCAACATTATCATTGATTTCTGTGCAGCCCAAAATCATAAAAGAAAAGAATTATACCTTGTATTTTTAATAAACACAATTGTTTCAGTTTTGCTGCTATTGAAAATACTAATGATATTTGAGAGAAAGACAGACAGATTATGAGGCGGAGTGTAAAAATCTCTCTCGCTAGTGTATGCATTTTTGAAACCCATAAGTAGCGTCACAAACTGAGAGAATAGGACCAGTTACAAGCACAATTGTGCCGTGGGTCACTGAAGCAAGGGTGATCTTATTAGTTCAACATCACTTTTTAAAATAAAATGGATTCAACTGAAAGTACCCTCCGACAAAGAAAGATCAAGTATTTTAACTAAAAACATTGCATGCACAGCTGAGAAGTGTTTGAATTCATAGTTAAAGAAAACCACCATTAATATAGTTCAGCTTCACTTTAAAAAAAATATATATATATTCTAAGAAAGAAACAAACAGAAAGCTGAGAGAAAATGTATGAGAAAAGTTGTTCTCAGGCTTACCATTGAAGGCACTGAGTAAGATGCAGCCATGGTAGAACTTTTGGTATTTGGGTAGAAAAGCTTTTGTAATACGAATGTACTCTTAACAACTAAGAGAGGTTCATGCAAAAGGCTCCTCCAAGCTCCTCAATTTATAACAAAAGGCGGGCAGAGAAGATAACAATTACAATGCCTCTGTGGATAAGGAAAAAAAAAAAAAAAAAAAAAACATATTCCAAGAAAATTCCACTGTGCATGCTTTATTTTTCCTCAATTATGTTTATCTACCTAGCTAACTTTTTGTCATAATTTTTTTCAATTGTTATCTTCAGAAAATGTTTGAAACTTGTTCCTTGGGAGCTGCATTTGCAGGCACGTAAGGTAAAGGCATTTCTCAAACTATCCCGTGCCACTTCCACACTTGCTACTGTCTTATTTCATTTTGCATGATGTCATCTATTTTTGTTCATCTTTTTATATATAAAGTTATAACTGATTTCAGTTTTTCTGTTCCTTTTTTTATTACTGTTCTTCGTTTCCATTGTCTTGACGTTTGAAAAGTGTAGCTGTACATTCATTATTCACACATATTAAGGTACATTAAATATTTAGAAGTGACACAGTGTAGGTGCCAACTTCATATATTGCTAGCTAACAGAAAGTCATATACATTTTGACACATATTAAAATACATTAAATGTCTTGCAAAATTTATATCTCAATTCTCCTGCATCATTATTCTACTGCAGTATGAATCTTCATGCTGTCTATCTAGCTAGGAATAGGCGAGTTGGATCACTATTTGCACTTGACCTCGCCAGCTAAGACCAAGGGGAGAAGGAGGGAGATGGATTAATTCTAATTTGATGGAACTCCGTCTATCAGCTAATTCTATGAATGCAAAATTAAACCACATGGTAGTCTTCTGACTCAATTTAGGAACGAGAAAAATTTTAATATTTTATGATAGTTTTTTTTCGATGTCTATATCAGTTTACGTGTATTTCGACTATTTCTCTGAGGCTCTAAAGTTAACAGTTAAATAAACTTTCAATAATTACCTTTTATAAGTAGTTGTGAGGATTCAAACTCAAAACCTCTTGAGTAATATATCTAAAAATCTAAAGCAAACCGTTCCCACTATAGTTATTTTTTCTCACTTATCCATGAGCTGACTCTAGCCAAACCAAAGGGTTGAAATCTTTGTATTCGGATTTATTTTCTCGTTTGTTAGGTAGCTTAGCTCTGCGCCAAAACTGGTTACTATAACTCTATTAACATCAGTGAACGTGAATGGCATCCATAAAATGAACCCGCTTTCAAATAGGAATAATCCAATAAGTTAGTAGAACCGGCCACACATCTATCTTTCGGCACAAACCGAAATTGGAAAAAAAAAATAGAAATAAAAAGAATATAGACCATAAATTACAAAACAGAACACGATGAATATATATATCCTCAGATAATTGCGAGTCCTGGTCAAAATTTTACGCCCAATGAAACTAATGAGGTCAAATATATTGCCAACTCGGCTTATTGTTTTGTTCCTCCATAAATCTTTTTTTTTTTTTTTTTTTTTTTTTTTCTGATACATACCTAGATACGGCCGGCCCAAAAGTACCTTTTTCAGACTACTTAGAAAAAATGAACCATTCTACAATATTCAATTTTATACTGTTTTTAAATATGTAACATTATCTTAGAATATTCGAAAATATTTTTCATATTATTTTTATAGATTTCATGAAGCATTCAAATAACAGCTTATAGATAAATAATACAACCATGAGTTAAAATATTATGAGAAGAATAATATGATGCAATAATATCGTTGATAACTTTGTTAAATATGATGACTTGCCGACATGCAACTGAACCAGTCGGTTAAGAACAAGTCGAACCTCTAACTCTCAAACATGTGGTCGTCCCAGAACCAAACACGTAAAGAAATTATCCACGAAAGAATTACTTGTCACCCTGTGGGGTGAGGAGGCCAATTGAATGGATAAAACTAAAGTAAGCAGTAGTTTAGCAGTTATCTCTTAAAACGCACCGCATGGTCAACAAATATAGCAAAAAGTTTGATTGGGCGGGGGACCTGGTGGGTGCTGGTTGCAGACGGGGTGACGACAGAAGCGGTTACAAGAGTTTGGAATTGTAACTCCCGAGGAAGATTAAGATAAGCCTAAGCCTATCTCATTTTCATCCAATTCTTATACAACTTGGCAATTCTATCCTGAAACTATGGTTACTCCCAATCTCATTTTTATATTTTTATATGATGTGGTATGGGCAGACACCACTCAGCAGAATCATGAATCGTCCAGTGTGGTGCCGGTGGGCAGTGAGTGGTTGATAAATAGACACCAGAGCAAGTACTAAGAGCTAGCTTTCTCGAGTATTATTCTTTTATTTTTTTTTAATGCAAATTGAGCTATTGATGATAATAGTTTAAGCCATTATATCGCATACCATTATTTCAGGTTCAGGGCTTTAGAAGATGAGATGATAAACATTTGTTCTTTGGATCGAATTCTTATGAAAATAATAAGGTGTGGTGATTGATCAATAATTTTGCGTGGCATGCAAATCAGACATAAAAACAGAAAAGGTGGTTGAATATTGGATTTAGGATGGTATCGGAAGTGGTCCTCAATCTCTGATGTAAGCTAAACTATTTAGCACTTCGAGGCGCAATAGAATAGAACCTTCATTTCATTTTCACTCACATGCATCTCATTCTACTTCTTCCAAAAAAACTCAAAAACTTGTGTGCTACTTAATTTATATACTTAATTATAAATACTCACTTTTATTTCTTAGAAGAGTACCATTAATTGCTATTATAGAAAAAATAACTAATATATTTATTTCAAATCACCACAATGATTGAGTGATTAACTAGAACTTAGAGTGTATTACTTAAAGATCTTGAGTTCGATTTCCTTCGACTCCTAATAGGAGTGACCACTAAAGCTCTTATCCGACTGCACTTCTAAGGTTTTAGAGGATTAATTGAAGTGTTTGCAAGCTAACCCAAACACTCCCAATTATCAATAATTATATATATATATATATATTGAAAGCTCTTATTCTAGGCTTTTTGAGAATTATCTGGGTTATGCTAACTTTAGGGTAAAATAGTATTGTGATTTGTGTTCAAATCATAAACTTCTCTGGGCCTTTTGTTTAATGTACGTGAGCTTCATTCATCTGTGGGCTGGGCTTTCTCAACAGGGTCTGCCCTCAGCTGGCATCAACTCCTTCTATTTTCTTTTAACTTTCCATGCTCTGCATAGTAACTAGAGGTGGAAAAGCAACCCGCCGCCCGCCCCGACCCGGCCCACGACGGGTTCCGCAAAGTGGCGGTTTTCCTGACCCACCCGCCACATGGTAGGCCGGGTTAGGCCCGCCAATTATGGGAATTGGTTGGCCCAACCCGGCCCGTCACCCTACCCTGTCGGGCTGGGTTAACCCCCTTTTCGTTTTTATTTTATTTTTTATTTTGTTTTGTTTAAGTTTAAATGTTTATTAACTTTTCAAATGAATAATTAACAATTATAAATAAATAAATGTAATTGTTTTTAGTTAACTTCTTTTAATATCAATAATTCAATTAAATTAATTTTTTTTTAACATTCCAAATATTAATTCAATTTTAATACATTAAAATGTAATATAAGAAAAATTAAATTATTTATTTATTAAAAAATAAAAGAAATTACAATAATTATTACCTCGTTAAAAACCTCACCAAGAAAAACCCAATGGGACAAAACATTGGTAAGGAAAAGAGTGCAATAATTGACAATTAATTTACAAATTACAATTTACAATTACAAACTAATTTTGGGGTTGACTAGACCTCTCTCATCGTACATCTATATTACAAAATTGAAATGATTCTATTAAAGTATCGTCGACAACCTCGTATTAACCTTGATGTCGCGACCGTTCCCAATCTCGAAGATATGTGAGGACTTCAATCATTTTTGGTGAAAGTTTAGTCCTCCTTCATTTAAAATTCTTCCACTTACACTAAATGTTTGTTCGGATGAACGGTTGAGACTAGAACAGCAAAAACATCCAAGGCAATCTTGATAATACCGAAAAAATATATTTTCTGGTTTTCCAATATTCCAAGACATCAAATTTGACTCTTTGTGTGGATCTGTTGGTAACATTTTAGGAGTTTCTCAAATATTGTTGAAGCTCGTTACTCTGTGATTGCATGGCGGATAGTAGATTCGTTGTTGCCGTTGGTGCTTCTGAAGAGGAGGCACGCCTGTGCTTCGGGTTTGGTTCCTCTTCGGCCTATTAAATGCACTCCAGGTGTAGAAGTCTTCATTTGTTTCTTCTGATGAAACTTCCCTTTGTAGTTCGTGTCTTTGCAGTTCCCATACTTGTTTTTCATATTTGAAATATACCTCTGCAAGACAATTGTTACCTCTCCTATTTGATTGACAAATGCTAAGTTTTGTAAATTTCGATATGTCTCTAAACCATTTTCTAAACCTTCTTGTTTAATTCTAGGATAAAAAATGGCACCTAAACAATAAAGAAAATGAATTTTTAAAATATTTTAAAAAAAAAATTTCCATTGCCTTTATTGGTTCTTTTAAAATTTCATTGTTTTTGTTTTTTTGTAGATAACTCTAAAATTTTTATAATTGTATGTATTACCAATGGACTAGTAGGAAATACACACCAGAAAGTTATAAAGTGGATTGGTAAAAAATTTAAGAAAAGAATGAAATACTTTAGCTATTTGCCAATCATTTTCTCACCAATAATAGGACCTCTATTATTTGCTAACAAATAACTAATTAAATTAGCATAAGGTAAACATGAATCAAGCATTAAATAATACTATCCATCTAATATGCATGTCTAATGTAAATGTTCTAGGAGACATGCCTGATTTATATAAGTATCTTGAAATTTAACATTTCTTTTATTACTACTTGTAACCAAGCTAACAATCTCTAATTCTATCAATATTTTCTTTAATTGTTTTCATACCACTTTTCACAATTAAATTAATAACTGACATGCACAAAGTTGGTGAAAAAACTTCAAATTATTTTATAAAA